AAGTACAACGATCATTTACTGTGTGCGTGTGAAGACTTCTCTTCAGTATACTGAAGAATTCGCCACTCGCTCGCATATTTAGGATGTGTTTAAAACAATGAACTATATATACCTACGAATGTCATAGCAAGATAGTCAGAATCAAACGAACAAGTTGAACTAGTATTGATAGGGACCGCTTTAGACGGTGCAACGTATCAGTTTGGTTATCAAATTGTTTTTGATCTGTACGACAGGCATGTTGCATGTGATAGGCAAAAAGGTAAACTGTTTAATTTCGGCGGCCTTAAGGTCTACAAAACTTTATCCCCATACCATATGTTAAACTATAGCTGGGACAGTTAGTTGGGCTTATTAGTTAAAAACTGTAAAACTATTACCTCTTCTTTTAGGCAACGTTTAGATATGATTCCAACTTCTGGACCAATAAAAGCTCTTATGTAATTGTTCATGGCCAGTCAGACTATGATGGTGCAAAGGAGACAAAACTTCCAACCTATTGGACCATGCCATTACAAAGTCTTTGTCTTGGAATGAAGACCAAACTACATAGCAAGCCTAAATGGATTCTTTTGCAAAACATGTGAGAGTTCACTATTTTATGAGAAGCTAACAAACTATCTTGCTATATCTTTTACTACACAGGGAAAAACAAACTAATTGCAGCCTCAGAATTTGTGAAATAAGTTACTTGCCGGATTTTTTTTTGCTGCGAATTTTACTTGAAATTCTTTTTCAGAAAAGACTTCACTCAGATAGATTTACAAATCTCCTCTAAAAATACCTCCTATTGATAAAATCTATTCCATCAAAACCAAGTCCAATCGAATTTCAAACTTCTAGGTCGCGATGCAAGGTTTTTTGTTGATATACTAAACTAATAAATCCGTTTTATATATTTTGAAAACATAGTATAACTGAACATGCAGCTTATGTGAAACTGATAAACGGACACATGGACTTCCTTATTTTTTTCTTAAGTTTAAGGTCAAGTACGCTGTATTCTATGATCGCAGACGATAAATACAGGAAGTTTGCTGTTGGTCGCAGTCAGTGGAAATCCCTGCTTTCTGGCTCCTCTTTGCAGTATGGTTGCAATCAAGAAGGCTTTAATTCCCTTACTGATTCGGATAAGTTTGCAAAAGTACGGATTGGAATAATTGCGAACGATAATAAGCATTGCACTATGACAGACTCTCTGATAGGATTTGGCGCCCATGGGAATGACTGTAATGTGACAACGGGAAACTGTGGCTGGACCAATGCTGACAACGGGGATAAGAAAATCGCAGCCTATGGTATTATCTTGGGTCGTTGATGTCCATACAAATAAAAATACACAATTAAGATCTATTACTTGTTACAAATGTTGAAGTATCAGAAATTCCGAAGTGAATTTATTAGACTAGAGTAGATTAAATTAAAGTTTGTTAGATATAGATATATCGAGCATGGTCATCGGACATTCAATGCGGTCGTTTTATTGATGTTTCATTTATATTTGCTTGGAAAATGAGTAGCCTCCTCAACAGGAATCAATATGAGTCACGTGCTTTTCAGTTCCCGAAATAACACTGAACATAATTTAGTGTAGTCCTACAGTGTGTATGCGAGATCAACGTCCTACATCCCTTTAAAGAGTAGCCGACAGATTCCTGGGAGAAATACTCTGTTCTTATATTCCAGCCAGCTGTAAGTCACAACTGGTTACCAGCGTGAAATTCAGGAAAAAAATAACTCTCCAGGCAAGGAATACTTTTTAATGAATTTTTTCCAGGAAAATAAAAATTCCCTAACCAAAAAATAATAATCCATTTTTGACCATTAAAACGTTAAATAGGCATATCAATAAAAGTCTTTGCATTTGTCATTTGATATAGTAGGTGACCAGGCGGTGTTGGACACAGCGCGAAAAGGATCCTCGGTTTTAATTTGGACCAATCATGTTGTGCCATTTCGAATTTGGCGGGAATCGCAAAGGCGGAGATGGCGACTGCTCAGGACTCGATATGTGTGTACAAAAATGCGTTTTTAGATGAATTTTGAAGCGCTGTTTGACAAAGAACACAAGAAATCGGTAGTATATTTATACTTTTGTGGATGTTGTAATATGTTACGCATATATTTTCGCTTCATAGCGAAAAAATAGCTTTAAAATTTTGTTGTCTTTTTACCAACGACAAGTCGGCAATTTTGACATTGCCAGACGTTTTTCATAGTTGTGATCGAAATATTTAATCAGTTGTCTTGATATTGACAATATAAAACGAGAAATAAATTCTTAATGTCCTGGTTGCATGGCGCAGGATGGCGCAGCAGTATTTATTCAATTTTGAAGCAGCTAAACATAGCGAATTTTGATAATTGGTAGAAATTATGCTCTCAATTTACTTCTTTTTTTCGATATTTATCACGCCTTATATTTCAATATGTGTTTGTACCATGTTTGTGGTAAGTTAAAAGAATATAAAAGCGTCTATACAAGGCATAATAATGAAGAACTTGAACAAAAAACACAGTCAAATTAAATTTCTTGCGGCCGAGGTTTCCCGCCAAAATTTTGACCTTGAACAACTTTTGACTCGAGCGTCACCTCTCTCATAGTCAAGGTCAACTTCACTTTTGAAATATTGACAGTTTTAAGATTGAAAAAGTTAATCCCTTTTTACATTTTTGCAACATTTTATGATGTCAAACAAAGGGTTGTTGCTTGGAATTGCAAAACATGAGTGTCATTCATATCGCTGATTGTGATTAACATGTCTTTTCGGAGACCGCCGTAAGGTATGTTTGTGCTTTCTCGTAATAAAATGAACTTAGTTTTCTCACAATTGCTCGAAAAATTCGAGGTTTTCATAAGGTTTCAGTGCTCTAGCTTTCTTTTTTCGCAATACTACTGAGCTCTATTATAATTTTTTACTTATTTTCAGGATACGTTTCAAGTTTTTCCCAGATTTCGACTTAATTTTGCCTTTCAATATCAAATCCGACGGAGCTCTTCATAGATCAAAGGCCAGTTGCAAATGAAGCCATTTTTTGACTTTTGACCCAGGATCCTTTTCGCGCTGTGTCCAACACCGCCTGTAGGTGACCGAGACACGAGGTAATGACCACTACTGCATTTTTTATCCTTTTTTGTTTACTTTTCAGTCCCCTTCTTTCAATGAAACGAATGACATTATCACGTAAAAGTTACGGACATACCAAATCAGTGGTTATTCCACGCAGGAGCCCAGACCTTACTAAAGGGTCCATTTTCTCTTCTACAAGAGTTTTACGGAATGTTCATAGAGTTTTTTTTTTTTTTGCTGAAAATTCAATATTTGTAATTTTATTTCTCTCATTTTGCTTACTTTGCATGGACATTTTAAAAAATCGAGCAAGCATAAAATCATGCGCATTCGTTCTTTTATTTTCTTCAGGCAATAATTAGGCGGCCTATGGGCTCATGTCTTCTCCTTATACAGCTGATACAGGAGTGTAACGGTGCTTTCATAGACGTGTCTATTTTTAGATCTCTCTCAGTCGTCTCCTCGTTATTAGTCTCTTTGTTCTAACCTACTAGAAAAACAACTATAAGAAGAAAATTCGGTTTGTAAAATTAATCATGAATGATAAGACCGAAACGGAGCATGGGAAAATAATCATCCGAGTTCAGTAGTGTTGTCACTAAGAGATTGCCTGCACTGAATAAAATGACCTTAATCAATTCAACTTTCCCTTTTCAATAGTATCTGTCAAATCCAAAAAACAATAACATGGATCGTTCGGCAAATTAGTGAAAGCTATGGCTAGTATAACATATGTTTTTGGTAAATCTTGTTTTAACTTCAGTATATTTTCTGAATCTCAATTGGTGTGTTTCAACGACATTACTTTTTAGCGATTCTATTGTAATGAGACTTCGCGCGAATCACTATATAAAGGGCCAAACCGAACATTAATTGCAGCGATTATTAGAATTTAATTATCCATTTTATCTGGAAGTGCTATTGAATGTATTAAAAGAACTTTACAACAGTGCACGTCTGTTCCCTAAGCAATGCAAATTTAGCAAAGACAATCCTGTTTTCAAATCATGTTTATTTTGTCGTCAGTTGGTACAACAGACTGACAATGACTAAACTGGTCTTATCTTCATCTCAGCTCTCTTAGCAGAATAGTAATGACCCTTCCAATTACGCCAGTTCACACCGTCACCGTCGGAATTGTGCTTACCGTGGTGGTACAGACCATTAAGGTTGGAGTCGTGGCAAGCTTTGTACCACCAGGCACCCTTGTACTTTACAGCACAGTTATTACTCCACTTATCATTATCACGATCTTTTGTGGTGAAAGCCATACTGCGATGACCGGATAATGAATCGCCTGCTGTACCTAAAGGAAAAGATCCAATATGTTTTAATATTCAAATAAACACTTGCAATCCAAGATGAAAAAAATAAAAAGTATGTGAGAGAGGACATCAGCAAAGGGGTCTTAGAGCTTCTTAGCTTTGGCAGAAAAATCTAGAGTTCCCAAAGCCGCGATTTATTCACTCAGTGCATCAAAAGGGTCCTAATTCTTTGTCTCCCTTTTGTTTTGTCCATCCTCTCATCATTGTCCTGCCTGCAAGCAAGGTCTCCAATAAATGGCAGCTTTGTTGATCAGTATTTTTGGCTTTTATTAACAAGAAAAAAAGGAAACTGCGCGCGTTGTGTTCTGGTCTATTGTCCAGGTGCATGACGGTCAAGGCGCGGTTTTGTGCAGCTGCGTAGCATCGGTTGATTTGCGTCTTGCGTGCTCTGTATTGGGTAGGTACAGGCCAAGATGATGGAGTACATTAAAAAAGGGGTCTTCGCTTTGGCGGAAATATCCAGACTTCAAAAGACGCCATTTATTTACTCGGTGCATCAAAAGGATCTTTATTCGTTGCCTCCCTTTTGTGATGTCAATCCTCAAATAAATCTATCATATAAAGAATTAAATTAAATGAAGTGAAATATTTAGAGAAACTTTCTCTCGATATTGAAGTTTTTATTACAATAATTTAAGACCATCTTCTACACGCAAGCGCTATTTATCAGAGCACACTAAAACGTTATAATTTCATTTCTAGTCGAAGATCAAAGATAGTGTTGCCAAGGGTTCCGTCTATTTAGCTTTGCCGCGAAGTGGTCGAGTCTCGGACTCAAATACCAAATTTCGATTACAATAATACTTTCCGCTATTTGTACTTCATTTTGGCAAATCCAGAAAATTACGACACATTAATGACATTAATCAATTGGCTTGCTGATATCAAAGTCATTGCATACAAAAGCTTGTGTCAACTTCCGGTGATCACGCCCCCCAACAATACCCGACTATAAATAGCACCCGATGTGAACCTTTTTGCTGATTTATTTAGAATCAGCTCTGAAATGTCGATTATTACCATTGGATTTGTAAAAAGTAATATTTAAGCTTCAGGAAAATCGTATTTATTTTGAAAAAGGATTAACAATAAGCTAAGGGGGTCAAAATTCGGTTTTCTTGAATCAAGGTTGCGCATATACACAAGAACTCTTGTAAACACCTTGGGTAATACAACGTGTCTTTTATGCATTCCCATACTGTACACTTTTCTGGATATGTTTTCGAATCTGAAACCGTATTGACGTCTTTAGCCGTCTTTACGTCCCGTAAAATTGTCTGATCGTGCGCATGCGTAGTGGCGTGACAGCATCACTTAAATAACCCCATGCATTCCCGCTGGGGATTGGGGCGATGGGATTTGATGAACTAATGCACACACAAAATGTAGCAAAACAATAATAAAGACATAACGAAAGGTGTGGAAAAACTAAAGAGAAAACGGAAGACCGCTCATTATATCTGAATTTCGTGAAAAGAAAGGAACAAAGAAAAAAGACAAATGTTGCATTAGTTTTACCTGAATAGGACCCAAGACTCAGCTTGTACTTGGTTCGTTCACTGGTCACAGCAAAGGAGCTATACTCGGCATACGCTGTCTTTCCTTTGGTATCCTCCAGGTCAACTCGAAGGCGTTTTCGTTCTTTGGTCAACCGATGGATCTTATCGAGACCCAACCAGAACTCTCCATTTAGATTCCCAAATCCATTCTTATAATCATTCCATCCTCGGTAGAAGTCCACCGAACCGTCTTGTCTTTTTTGGAAAACTGTCCATCCTCCACCAGCAGTCTTCTGATCGCAGTAAACCTAAATGAACAAATGTGATTAATGAAATCATGGGAAATCTTTAATTTGGTAATTCCGGCTATTTGTTTATTTTTTAGAATAATTATTATAAGTGGTTTTTTTTTCAGTTTTAGTTTATTAAATGAAGTTCATTCATTAAAGTTGAAGACTAAAAAGGGAAGAGAGTTTGTTACTTCATTAAGGCTCACATGATGATAACGATATTCGGGAGTTGCGTTAATTACGTAAAAGAGGGTCTCAATGGCGTTAACTACTGTTATCCTTGAAGTAGTCCGAGGCGTTAGCCGAAAAATGGTAACATGGAAACATGGTAGAAGTAACTGGAAATAAGGTAGAAATAGCTGGAAATAATGTAGAAGTAACTTGAAAAAGGTAGAAGAAACTGGAAATAAGGTAGAATACAAGGTACGAGTACTTCCTCTGGTTTAAAGTTACTTCACGTGGTACAAATTACAATCAGGGATTGGCTGGATACCTCATGAATATAATTAATGAGCATGAGAAACGGCTTTAAAATTGACAATGAGCCGTGAATATTTTTAGAGCGTAAATCGTGAGTTTTTGTTCGTCTGAAGGGCAATTGAAAATGTTCCATGTTCTTGTTTAGTAAGTGTTAATACTTAGCTATAGATATATTTTTGTCAACATGAATGAATGAAAAGCAGACAAACAGGCCGGCAANCGCAACAGCGTGAGCCAATTACTGCGGGCCCTGTACTCTCACACTCACTACCTCTACATTAAGTATTTTAGCACACAACACTCCTCACATGTTGATTTTTGCTGAGGAAGGAAAACCGGAGGACCCGGAGAAAAACCCTCATGGCAAGGGAGAGAACAACACATCAAACAAACTCAAACTCACATATGGTCCGTGCCCGAGAATTGAACCCGGACCACAGCGGTGAGAGGCCAGTAGCTTAACCACTAGGCCACCCATGCCACCCATAATGGCGCTGTTCTGCATTAAGAGATGTTAATTACCAAACAGCCCTTGAACTCCTAAAAGAGCGCTGCGCTAAGAAGCACTTATAAACGAACATATGGTCGCCCTATCAAAAATCCCAACGACATCTAAATATGTAAGACAGCTCAAAAGCTTCTAACAATCTATTCATATAAAGTGGTCTTCATCTAAAAAATGCGACAGATCGCAATGAAAATTAAACGCGGCTCCTGATCGAAAAATAAACAATAATGCAAATTTGTTGTAACCCTATAGATTACGTGACCTCTACCGTTGAGTATTTCGTGCCCGATGCTTGTGGTGTCGGCCTTTTTTTGTTTTTTTTGTAAACCTAAGCTTTAGTTAAGTTTATCAAAGTTGCAAATTGCCAACGAAGAGTAAGCTTACATGACATTTGAACCTTCGTTCATCGTCTTCAACAGTCATTTGATTTCAAATTCTAAAGATCCAGATTGTGATTTGAGTCGACGTTTTTGCTTTTGCTGTCCACTTTACCCTTCTGCTGTTCAAAAAGTTGATTTTCTCCAGATTTCCCAAGTATTCCCAAGACTACACCTGTTGTGTATCATTGGATTGCCTTCCTTGTCGACTAAATATTGAAGCGAAAAGTAATTTGGGACAAATTTCTACTAAAAGTAGACTCCAAAAGCATAAAAATGAACTTTAAAAAGGACTAAGATCTTCCTCCTCTTCCTCGGAACTTCTCACGCCAATTCGGAAACCCATTGTTCAAGTCGCTTTCTGATTGGCTGTTCTGCGATGAATTTATAATAAGTTATTCTAAAAATAGCATCAAGAGGGATATATGCCGTTCTAAGAAACTATTAAGACGAAGAAGGCTCCTGGTAAGGAGCCTCTGATTGAAAAATAATAATAATGCAAGAGTGCTGCAGCCCCAGATTGCGTGGCCTCTCCCGTTGAGCATTTCGCGTCCGATGCTTGCTTTCGTTTTTTTTTTTTGTCTTCTGCTTTCTCTGTCAGGTTGATTTTGGTTTTCGAACTTTCTTTCTTTTGGTCGTATTTTCTAAGCGCAACTTCTACGAATTATAGTAGCATTCTAAACTTCCCGCGAAATCAGATCTGCCGCGAAAAATAAAGAACATTCAAGGGGCACCAGGTGAGCCGCGTTTCTAATTGGCCTTCCTGACCGAGATGAAAGGTCTATGGTTTGATGTTTGCACAACTTCAAGGCTTGATTTCTCGTTATGTATTTTCTTCTGGGAAGCGAAGTTATAGTGCAGTTCATTGCATTTACGATGAAATATTTTGAAAATTTCACCAAAGCACATGCAACTCATGAAAAGTAAAACCGCGTGAGCGTTTCTCAAATTGCGTCTTAGATTTTGTTAACATCTACGATTCAACTGTGACTTATTTCTAAACTGAGTGAAATATTAAAAATCGTTCATACACAGCTTGACAGGTGAGTATGTGTTGTGTTGTTAAATGTTTTGATGATGACTTCAAGTGGAAACCGAAAATAAATAACAGATCGTGGCAGATTATGGCTAGTATAACATATGTTTTTGGTCAATCTTGTCTGAGCTTCTGTGTACTTTCTGGATCTCGTTTGGTGCTAGTTTTGACGCAAGCACTATTTAGCGATTCATTCTATTGTAATACTGCGCACGAATCAGGGCTGATGTAACGAAACATTTTAATTTTAACTTACTTGAACTAACTCACACTCATGATTGTAAGCCGCGTGGCTGCTAAGCGCCTTAAATAGCGGTCTGACCATTACTTTGTTGTGAAAGCGCATTGAAACAGTGTGATAATGCGCTATATAAGACCACATATTATTATTATTATTACATATTATCATATTATTTGATTAGAATTTAATCATGCGCCAGTTTATCTGGAAGTACTCTTGAATTTATGAAAAGAATAATTGTACAACAATGCACTTCTACGTATTTTTTTCCTGGGATCCGGAAAAAAAATGGATTTTAAGATATATTATTGACAATATCACAAGCAAATGTGGCTTCCTTCTTATTTTGTTTAAGGTAAACGTTAGGTTTATAGTGACCGTTTTCATGGTCAAAAACGGCTTATATTTTTTCAATTACGATTTTTGTAATTTTCCAGGGAAAAATTCTTAGAAAGTATTCCTTGCCTGGGGAGTTCTTATTTCCTGAAGTTCTCGCTGGCAACCAATTGTGACTTACAGCTGGTTGCTGGAACATAAAAACAGATATATTTCTCCCAGGAAACTGTCGGCTCCTCCTAACTTCTGTTCCCTATAAGCAATGCAAACTTAGAAACAAAATTGTTTTCAAATCATACATGTTTATTTTGTCCTCAGTTTGTACAACAGACTGACAATGACTACACTGGTCTTATCTTCATCTCAGCTCTCTTAGCGGAATAGTAATGACCCTTCCASYGATACCARTTCACACCRTCAGCRTATGACTTGTGCTTACCGTGGTGGTACAGACCATTAAGGTTGGAGGAATGGCAGCTTTCGTACCACCAGGCACCCTTATACTTTACAGCACAACTACCACCACTCCATTTATCATTATCACGATCTTTGGTGGTGAAAGCCATACCGCGATGATTGGATAATGAATCGCCTGCTGTACCTACAGGAAAAGATCAAAGATCAAATATTGAAATAAACATTTGCAAACCAAGATGAAATATAAAAAGTGTAATTATAGATATATTATATTATGAAGCAATTAAATGAAGTAAAATAATTTGAGAAAATTTCAGTTTTAGAATATAAGTTTTTTTTCTAATAATTTCAAGGTAAGTGCGGAAATAACAAAGAAATACAATAAATGATGCATCAGTTTTACCTGAATAGGAACCAAGACTCAGCTTGTATTTGCTTCGTTCACTGGTCACAGCAAAGGAGCTATACTCGGCATACGCGGTTTTGCCTTTGGTATCTTCGAGGTCAACACGAAGTCTGTTTCTTCTTTGGTTGGTCAGTCGGTGGATCTTATTGAGGCCCAACCAGAACTCGCCTTTTAGATCTCCAAATCCATTCTTATAGTCGTTCCAACCTCGGTAAAAGTCCACCGAACCGTCTTTTCTTCTCTGAAAGACTGTCCATCCTCCACCAGCAGTCTTCTGATCGCAGTAAACCTGAATGAACAAATATGATTAATGAAATCATGGGAAATCTTTAATTTGGTAATTCCGCCAATTTTTTTATTTTAAAGAGCATATGACATGAAAACAGTTTTTTGTCCATTGAAAGAACGCTATTCAAAAACCCCAAATCTCGGGTTTTAAAAAAATCTGATAAAAAGCCGCAAAGTTATGAGCGTTGAAAGTTGTGATTTTTCACCCAAAATTTGTCCTCTTTTTCCGCTCGGCCAAACGCGTCACATGACGTCATTTTGTTGGTTCGCGATCTGTTAGATGCAAAGATGGCGGCCGAAGTGAGCAGTTCCACTCTCAAAAATCGTAGATACAAAGGCAGATATTGCGTGGCAGGATATAGAAACAACATTAGCTGCAAAAATAAGAGTTATACTGCAGATATATCAATGTTTCCATTTCCAAGCGACCCAGGATTACGTGAAAAAAGGACAAAGCTCGTCCGTTTACACAAAGCGGACTTTAAGCTCCGAAAAAGAAAAACATATCGTTGTGCTCGGCACATTTTAAAGAAGAATGTTTTACATCGCCGCTATTGAATCTAGTTATACAATTATTATAACCATAGTTAATTTATAACTACAACTAACAATACCCTTTAATTTTTTAGCGTTTCAAAATCCGATCGTGTTCAAGCTACTAAAACTTTATAGTGTAAACACGGGCTGGCGTCGCCGGGTTCATTGTATTAAAGCAGACATTTTTTTAGCGGTTTAGTAACAATTCGTGTATCTGAGTCAATACGCAGGATTTTCAAGTACAGTCCAAGTGTTGGTTTACAGAATTGAGGTTCTATACACATCGAAAACTAATTTCCCTTGAACAGTTTAAGCTTCTAAACAACAACGATTTTCTGTTCATGTTCTGTTCGCCGCTAGACTCTCATGCCTTAAGCTTACTGTTTCTTTGTTTACATCTTTTGAGACGAGTTTGTGTACGCATACTTTTCACATCTCGTTTTATACACTTCTCTTCAAGCAAGAGTTTGTTTATATAAGTCATAAGGGTCTTCAATGCTGGTCTGATATACGGCCGCGATTCTATGTCGATCACTTCAGCATTATTTTAGCTATCTTTTTTTATCCTGAATCGCCATAATTTCGTCTGACTCTGACTATTCTATATCCACATCGGTATTGCATAATAAGGCGCTAGTTTCTGACTCACAATCCGATATATTCGAAAGAGGTTTTACTGGCGCAAAGAGAAGATTGCGGAGTGCAGAAATCACTAAGCCAACAAAATGACGTCACAACGCTAGTATCCAGTCCCCCAAAATGGGACAAAAATCAGGGGAAAATTGCTAATTTTAAATAGCTGTAACTTGGCAAGTTTTCATCAGAATTGAAAAATATTTTAGATTTAGGGTTTTCAAATAACGTTCTTTCACTGGACAAAAAACTGTTTTCGTGTCATATGCTCTTTAAAGTAATTTTTTTATTATATAATATTTTTTAATAGTATTTTTCAGTATTTTTTATTTATTTTTTTTATTTTCTTTTACAGTTTTAGTTAATTAAATGAAGTTCATTCATTAAAGTTGAAGACTAAAAAGGGAAGAGAGTTTGTTACTTCATTAAGGCTCACATGATGATAACGATATTCGGGAGTTGCGTTAATTACGTAAAAGAGGGTCTCAATGGCGTTAACTACTGTTAGCCTTGAATATTTTTTAGAGCGTAAATCGTGAGTTTTTGTTCGTCTGAAGTGCATTTGAAAATATTCCGTTCTCTTCTTTAGCAAGTGTTAATTCTTAGCTATAGATATATTTTTGTGATCGTAAATGAATGAATGGAAAGTAGACAAAAACAGGCAAGAAAAACAAACAAATGAAATGAAATGAAATTTAGATGTTTTATCGCGGAATATTTCCCAATGCATGCTTATGCGGTTACTGTGATTTGAAATAAAATGTGTAGATTGTCTCTTCGTAAAACTAGTGTGATCCGGACCTATTAATAAGAACCTTTTGGTAATGTGGTGACTCACGGATCAGTATATTTAAGTTATTCAGTAATTTTGGTGAGGTATCTTGAGGTAAAAAGTGCAGTGCAATTTTGTCTGATACGTATGGGCCCTTTGAGACCCTCGTAAAACATAGAATAAACATTAAAATATTTCGTTTTTTAATAGGCTCCATAAGAACAAGCTTTTATATTAAACGCTCGTAAGAATATTACACGTACCTTAAATTTCCCTTTTCCATCAGGGTCAATGGTATATACACCACTTCTTTTGAAYCCACGTTTGTAGAGCTCGGCACAGTTTTTCAACACTATAGTAATTTTAAATAAATACTTTTTAGATTGTGAGACCCTTGGTCATCACTATATTCACAGGTCTGGAGTACAATTAATGCCATGTGGTTATATTGATTAATCATAAGAACAATTTTAAAAGTGTTACCTTTGTGGGGAGTTCCTTTTGCCTTCTTGATCTCGCGAAGCATGTTGATGATTGCCAACAAAACCTTTTGATCATTTCTACTAGCAGAGACAGTCAAGACGATTGATTTTGACTGGTGGTTTGTTGTTTTGCCTTCATGTATAATAACCAGGCCAACAATCACCAAAAATAAGCCAAAAGACTTCATTTCACTTTAAATCGAAATCGTTCAATTTTGATGTGAACACAACGAAACTARAATAAAAGTGATGCAGGCTGTAGTCAGAGACTGTGACTTATGCTGTGTTTGTGCCAACATGTTTTTCCAACTTGTTTTGTTGTCTGTTCTAGCATATTCTTAATTGTTTGCCTAAATATAGAATGCATAGAAGCCTCCTAATTTGGGACAGTGTTCGTAAATAGAGGGCATATGAGCTGTTTATCACAATAGCATTCCGTGTATACGGTATAGCGGTGTTCGTAATAAAGAGGTGTTTTGTGGGAGCGCAATAAAATTGGCTATTTATTTATATGGCTACTTATCTAGTATTTGTTAGTAAAGAGCAAAAGAGAGAAGCAGTTTCAKAGTGCATAGCAACTGTTTTCAATGACAATGGAAAACACGATTTTCATCATCACAGACTGCATGCTGTTACAGAAGATCTTTTTCATGCTCTCCAAATCCTTCATCAGTTATTTTACAGAAATCCAACATTACTGGCCTACAAAATATAGATAATTACGCCTCGCTGCCGTGTAAGAGCCCTAGTAGATTTCATGGTCCTCAACTTAGTTGAACGAAGCGCTACTATATCTATCAACCGGAATAAGTTTTAAACAGCGAAATAAATTTATGCGCAATCCATGGAATGGTGAAATTTATGCATCCTTCTGTACTACCTGCGGTCTATTATGTACTCTATCTTTTATATTTTGCTGCTTGGAATGAACCACAAACGTCACATCCACAGACTATTAAGTTATTATCACTTTATAATTGGCATTCATCTGTGCAAAAATATAGACCATAAGCGACCTGCCAAAACAGAGCCTTTGTTAAAACCAACCCAATCTAAATTAATTTTCCTAGTCAAATAAACAGACAAAGGTCAACTTGATTGGGATTTTTAATAATTCATTGATGCAAAAATAGCAATTTTTATGACGGAAAGAAGAAATTAAAAGAAATGGGACTTCGACGCCACCTAGGAAAAAAAACAACAACAACAAACAAACAAAAGTACTGCATATATCTGTCCAATATAATGAATATCAAAAATTGAAGGGAAATTCTTTTAAAGAATTTTAAGAAAAAACAAAACAATTACATGCGCGAACAGTTTTCTACATACATTTGAACGATTTTTGTGAGAATTCGAAAATTTCTATCTGCGTCACCAAGTGTTTTCACTGCCAGACGCAAATCCTTTTTATTTGTATGTTCCGCTTTCTATTAATTAGCATCTGCAGCATTGTTTCTATATCGTCTATTTGGTTTGCTTTTTTTAATTCCTGATTCCGAATACTCAACATTTTTTACTTTTTTTTCCGATATTACGAAAGATGTCCCGGTTGTTAATTGATGTAAAATAAATATAATTAATAATAATATTCACAGGCAACATCTCAAAGGTAGAACTTCAATGTATCTTATTTCGATTTATGTCGTACATCAAAGATTGCCCATGTATATTTTTAAATACAGTCACTCTGATCCCCTTAGGCGACCATAATCCTTAGCGTCAAAACAATAGGATATTTGACCTGACGTTACAATGAAAGAGGGCCATTGAAGAACTGTATCGCGAAAAAATGTGGCCAAGTAGTCTCGTGTAACATCAGTTTAGCACTTGCTAACAGCCTCAAATCAAACTTAATACAATGTCCTGTGAAAACTAAATTGATTTATTTTTACCTTTCTCTCTTTACAGCAAAAATATCAAAACAGTCACATTTATTCTCATTGTGAAACAGACTTAAATATAAATCCATTATGTACAATTTTTACTATAATATACTATACAAAGTCTGTGTTATCCTATAATACATTAAAAAGATATCAGTTAAGCGTTTGTTTTAAAAATATAAAGAAGACTATATCGAAATAAAAGAGTAAAAAATATACTAGTAACATTGCTCACTCATTTTCAGAGTGCGACAATGACTTGATAAAAATAGGCAATGTATGAGCAATGCAGTACAACGAATACGTGAGATGTGAGTGAAATTGATAAATAAGTCGAATAGACAGCTCTATTCTTACGACCGCAGTTTTAAAGTCCAGTCAAAAATTCGAGGCTGTGGCTGAGTTTCTCTTGAATTTTGTTTTTTTGATGAATATTTAAACAGAGAACTCTATATAATTGAAAGGACGACAAGCAACCGAGAACGTTGACGAGGTTTTCTTACATTTATGGAAATTCGGAGTATTTTACATTTTGAACTGATGCAAATTTATAACTTGCTGTTTTACAGTCAAAACAAACAAAGGTTTTCGGATGCAGGCTGGCTTTAAATTAGCCTGAGTTCATCCAGCGTTAAACCGGATGTACGCAGGCTAGCTTTAAATATTCTTATAAGTCGTTTCTCTGTCTTTCTTTGATAAAGGGCTAGTGGTCATTTCCTTGACTCTGGTGTCCAGTCTACTCCTCTGCCAGCAGTTACCTACTCGACATCATTCTTTCCTCTTTTCATAATCATCTTGTTCCAGTGAGACGGGCGTCTTGATACGCTTCCTACTTGCATCCGGGAACCTTTTAAGACGCTCTCTCGACGACGACCTCCCATGGACATGCGCATTGCATGTGTTGCTTTCATCTTGGCCTCCATGTCGAGAATGGACTTTGGAAAAAGACTTTTCTCGTCGTACCTCATCTGAAGACCTACAATGAATGCAGCAAAATGATTTCAGAAGGGAACATGCTGATAATTAGAGTTTCCTTAGAAATTCTACTCGGTATGAACCTTTCTACAAAAGAAAGTCTTCTTTTACCTTCAACAAAAAGGAGAAAGAGAAAGTAAAAGAAAGCTCAACTTAAAGTAGATCTGTTCACAGACTATACTTGAAAGTTATAAGCCTCCAAAACAGCTCGAGTACAAATTTAAACAAACATAAATAACATCTAAAAACGTTTATGTCCTTTAATTTGATTGGCGTGAGCATGCAGTGCAGTTCAAGTGCTTGGAAAAAGGTAGAGAATCGATTAAATAAAATGCATCGATACACCACGATCGACGGATGAATCAGTAAGTCAGTCTAACGTCAAATTCTGTAACGTCGTAAAACCATCAGCCTGACGGTCGAACAACACTCCAGTTTATCGATTACTCCATCAATCACAAAGCCAAGCAGTCTACCAGTCCAAAAGTCAATCAACAACTCAAGTGGTTTGTCCGTAAGCCTGTTATAAAAATTAGGTAACACCTAATAGCGGAGCTCCAGTAGCAATATAGAAGCTGAAAATAATTATCTAGTACTACTATTTCAAAGGTRRATGCTCTGTTCTAGGGAATGTGAGCTACAACAGTTTTGTTGACATGCGAACAAATATTATAAAGAGTATGTTTACGAGAATTTAGTTCGTACTATTATATTGACTTCGGTAGATTTTGTTCCGTTGGATGAAGTTTAAAATTATAATTAAAAGTAAACTGAAAGCTTCTCGGCAAAAAGTAGTCTACACAAGCTTTAATACAATAATCAACACTGTTTCAAAAATCGATGTTTGAACCCGGACTACTCGAACTTCACATATCACAGAAAACTGTATGCAAAAATATATTTTTTACCTTCATTATCGAACTTCCGATAAATTATCGTTYAAAGATCATCTTCAACAGAGCCATACTTGTTTCAAGCATAGGTTTCATCAATTTATTAAGTCATTCAAGACTGTAGATTCTTTGTTTTAATCTCTCTCAATCTAACTGCTAGCATGGTTTTGGTTTCGAAATGTCCACACTTTTAGTCGACAAAAGAACTTCGCATAGATCCCTGCTTTTTCCCATATTGGTCCATATTATTGAAGTATTTCCAATAAAGTATCATCTCTTTTTGTTGTCGAAATATCAAAGTAAAATCCTTTTTTCTAATATCACTTTTAAGATGGGCCTAAATTGCTTTTCATCTTCGCAAATCGATTTCCCGGATGTGCGGACGCGTCGAAGTAATGACAAAGTTGGCGGGAATATTTCTGTGCTGTTATTTCACTCTTCAGTGGATTTTTTCCTTGTTATTAATTGTTCTAATATTATCAATATGTAATATAAATGTTTAAGGAAAAAAATTCGATTTTTCAACAAATACTTGGCGCTTTGTTTCCTTTTCGAGCGGAGTATGGGTTTCCTGTGGTGGTACACGGAATCCAGGACGGAAGGACGGAAGGAAACGTGCGTACGCGCGGGAACCCTGTGTCGGTCCATGGAAAATCGACTCGATGGTATACCATTTTTTCTTAGGTATGGTGCTCCGCTCGCGCGGGCCGAAGGCCCGCGCGGGAGCTCCGCTATAAATCTATCAAAGTAAGCCACTCCTCTATCAATAAATCATCAGTCCATAAATTAAACAATCAGTCATATTCTTAATCAGTCAATCAGTAGCGCATCAATCAAAAGGCAGTCAGACTGCCAAACAATCAATTAATCAATCAACCAATCCATCAATCAGTTAGTTTATAAATCGATCAACAAATCAGCCAGTCCTTCAACTAATCAACAATCGGTCCGTCAACCAAATGAAAATTCTTAAAATCCCAATACAGGCGAAAATATCCTCGTTTCTATGATAAAACCCAATAGAATAAACAATGAATTTACACATAGATTCGAGGCTAATCCCGTTTGCACTGCTATTTTGAGAATAGTCAATCAATCAGTCCAAATCAACCAATCAACTGGTCCACCAATCATTCAGTCAAGGGATCAGCCGGCTAATCACTCAATCATGTAATCAAGAAAAGAAAAACTCGATGGGTAACGAATGAAAAATCAACCAAAAATGGAAGAGAAGGTGATTTTATCAATTTATCATAGAAAGCTGGTGAAGACTGAGTCCAAAGCATGCAGATGGTTTTAAGTGCAGTTTTACTCACTCTTCGCAACTATGGTTTATTTCTTCGTTTAGTTGACGCTTTACCTAAAATCCATCACATTTACTATTTAAACGGCTTTTAATTTAATCATTTCACATTATAAAGTTCAATATCCTAAAAGCTTAAATACTTTCAGTAAAGAAAGTTTGCTTTGCTTGTTAAAAGTCCTGTAGATGCAACATAAGACTTTTATATGCTTGAAGTCGTCACTTTGTTTTGTCATGTACTTTGTCATGTAAAACATAATGGTGGGAACTAGCGGTAAACTAGTGTGAGCTGCGTCGGTGTTTCTAAAGAAACACTTGTGTAAAAAGATAAATTGAACAACGTAAAAAAGTAGGAGAAGTAACTTACTAACATTTCGGACGTTAATCCTTACTCCTACTTTTTTACAGATGTTGTTTTTATAGCAGTTTAATTTATTTCGGAATTGTTGTCGTTGTTTGTTAATGTGGGTAAAATTGTGGGTAAAATTGGCGGTTGGATAAGACTTTTTTGACGCCTAAGTATTTTCAAAAGTCTTGTGAGCCTTTAATTGGTGTTTTATTGCGYTATTAATGTACTTGATCTGGCTAAAGTGTCATTTTAAATAATTTCAAAATAATTTAAAGTCGTTTTTGAAGTTTTATGTTTGGACCAAGAGGCAACAATTTGACTGCAAAGTAAACGAATTATATAAATAAATGAATAAATAAATAAATCGACTTTATTTTACGAGGGTAACACGTGACAGTAAAGAACTGATGAACTTGTGGCCCTCGCACTCACACTCACTACCTCTACATTAATTATTTTAGCACACAACACTCCTCACATGTTGATTTTTACTGAGGGAGGAAAACCGGAGGACCCGGAGAAGAACCCTCGAGGCAAGGGAGAGAACAAAACATCAAACAAACTCAAACTCACATATGGTCCTATATATACCTTTATATACCTAAAGCAAAGCAGAAAACAAACAGGAAAAAAAAAGCAAAAATATAATAGTAAACAAAAACAAAATGAAACTAAGCAAAAATAAAAAACAAACAAGCAAAAAGACAAAAGAAACAACAAAATACATAAAAAAAGGAAAAACATAAATCATGTAAAGCATGCATGTTACTCACGTTCAGTAATGGAAGGCAGTGGTGGCAAAGATCGATTTTTGCCCGAATTTCTTTCGCTGAAATATTTTTCAGGATTTAGAATGAAATCCGGTTTATTTATTATTCCAACGTCATCTAGATCTTTAGTTTCCAATGCCTATGACATATAAACAATGTAATTAATAGAATTAGAGTTGCTTCTATACAAACAGTCAATACTTTGATAGTACTTATAGGAAATCACGGTGAGAAAATGAGGCTTAGAGTTTTGTTCTGAACGCCTCCAGATCAGGGATAATAATCGGATTACCAATGTTAATTTGTATTAGAGAGTTTTGGATTCGCGTTTAATTTACGGCGAATGGCAAACRTCAAAACTGATCACGTGACCACTTTCATACAAAAGGGCTTCGACATTTACGTTTGTTTAAAATTTTGAGACAAAGTATAAAAAACAATTTGACGTTTGGCGTTTGCAGTAAACGCGAATCTAAAACTCCCTATTGTTGTTCTGTGAAAAACTTTCCAATGACTAGGAAACAATAAAGTCATTTTAATTACCTCGAACGTCGGCAATAAGCCATACAAATTCAGCCATTGGAGAACATGGCTTATAGCTTCCGTTCTCGGTGATTGACTCTTGTATAGATTGCAAATACTTGACTCACCGCATAAGGTCCAGCAGGAGTTTGGCCCGTCTTTTCCCATGTTAGATATGGCAGGTTAGGAATACTATTTGGTTGACGGCGCTCACGTTTACTGCCCCTTTCTTCTTGATACGACTTTCCTGAGAAATGCAGAAGAAGTATTGTTATAAACTCACTCACTAACGTATCACTAGCTTTTCAAGTACAAAAAAAAAAAAAAAAAACGCTTGAAAAATTAGAAACAAGATATTGCTAATGAGTTTCGAAAATCTAGCCAAATATAAGCACGAGATATTTCTAAAGTTCATAGAAGACAATAGTCTCCTTCACGGTTCTCTGTGCCCTCTTGAAAGGTAGCTGTACCATTGCATCAAAGCGAGACAACCGTTGAGAGTGCAATGATAGATGCCTGTGAATAATTGTCTGAAGATGTGAAAGGTTTTTATCATTGCACGCTCAACAGTTGTCTCGCTTCGATACAAAGGCAAGGCTACCTTTCAAGATGACGAAGGGAACCGTGAAGGAGACTATTGGGAAAATTCAAAGTTAAAAACAGTTTTTAAGAGTTATTTGCCTAATTTAGCCTTAAATAGCTGCATTTACCTAATATGGTTTTGTCCCATGTAGTTATTCTGTAGCTGGGATCAAAGGTTTCATCGGTAAAATACTGCTCTTCTTCCTCAACTTCTGCTTCATCCTCGTCTTTTTCGTCTTCTTCGTCACCTTGATCAATTAACTGAGCGACAAACAAACACACCTTTTAGTTGCTATCTTTACGACCCCGTCGTACTATAACATACAGCAAAGATCTGAGAGGCACTACCCCTAGTACTGTAATAATACTGTATTACACAAGATCTTTCAACTTAAAAGTTGACTGTCCAACTAATATAGCCACCCTTTCATCTGTAATCTGTGTCGTCTTTATGTTTTATCGCTACTGACTTTTGTGCCAATTATTTATCACGATTGCAATTTATTCAAAATCGATTCAATTCATTTTATTTCACTTACTTCTACTTCTCGCTGTCTCTCTGCTTCTCGTTCTTCTTTAGAAATCGGTTCAATTTTCCAATGTTCCTCCTAAAAATATATCACACTGTTAAAATGATATTCAATCAATAAATTCAATCCGTAAAAAAAAAAACGAAACAAAGAACACAAAAACACACAAAACGAAACAAACACAAAACCAAACCAAACCAAAAAACAAAAACAAAACTAAAATAAAATAAAAATAATTACAAACAAGGAGAGCGAGAACCAATAAGGCACAAACACAAAAAAAAACACGGTTTACCGCACCTGGCCGAATAWTCCGATTTGTCGTCCTTCGATATCCCACAATGCAGCTGAACAATCACTTGACGCAGTTAATACGAGCAGTCGTTCATTCCTGGTCAGCAGTTCTATACTATTGATGATGTCAGTGTGTGGCTGGAACTGCTTCAGAAGTGCTGAAAATAGATTCAAATAAGTTAGTGCCATGTCGTGAGGCTCTTATCTTAACCTTAACAGGGTTACAGGAATGCAGTTTGATCTGTCTTAATGCCGAGCCCAAAGTCTTCACGGCTAAATGTCAGCGGTCTGGTGACCCCACATGAGCTCATATAAATAGTAGCTTTTAGTCATCGAAACAGGATGTCTAGCCTGTCTTTAGTAGCACTGAATTAAGTTTGAAAATCGCAGGGAAATAAAACTGGAACTTAAAAACGTGTGAAAATAAAAGAAAATGATGTTTTGTTTTGTTTTGTTTTATTTTAACTTTACTAAAGCATTGGCAGCATTATTGCCTAGCACTTTAAAATTCGTCCATGATGACAGAAATAGATGATATTAAATGGGCGAACGGAGAGTGAGCGTAGCGGACGAGTGAGAGATATTTTCAACACGAGAAGACTTTCAGTATTTAGAGAAACCTAGAATGTGTTATTTTCACTAGTGAAAATGAAAAAACTTTACGTAATGGAGAAATATACTAGGTGTTTTATCAATAATTATATGATAAAGATAGATATCAGCTGGATGAATGAATAGCATAATTTTTTTTTTATTCATCTGCCATCCGGATAATTTGTACATTTAAGAATATACTTACGAGGGGGATCTTTACGTAACACATTCCCTGTCACGCAATAATCGTTGATGTCCCAGACTTTTATTAACCCATCAGCATCTCCAGTCACGAGGTAAGAGTTTGTCTCCTCTGTATTCATCGTTAGAGAGCCAGCTAGAGGAAACGAATGGAAAATTTCACAATTACAACAGAACAAATGTATGTTTGGATATCTAAGGGCCATGGTCTATCAGCATTCAAAGCGGTCGTGTTTTATATTTTTTCATATAATGAAAATGAGATGACTTCAAATATTCATTCGTAATTCATTTCCATCTATCGGTTGGAAGGTCAAATGATACAAAATCTCCATTCATAAAGCATAAAGTGATAATAAAGAGTAAGTTTTTGCTTAAGGATATTTTAATATTTTTTTCTTTAGAAACATAGGTTATGTTGAATGTAATGTTGGACGATGGCTCTTTAACGGACTGGGCTTCCCTAAATAGAAAAAAAACTACACGCTGTAACAAATGCAGAATTTGTACCAAACGTCGCTTAAAACAAGAAGAATGGGGTTGGGTGTGATTGTGGGAAAACTCAAATATTATGGGTTGTAGCGATTTATCCAAATAAATGAAAAAAAAATGAAACTTGGTTACACCTAAAGCGAGATTATATAATTACTGTATTTTTTTAGTAGCGAAAACTATGAAACTATGGCATTAATATAGCAGAGGATATAGTCATAAATAAGTGTTTTTTCTTAAACTAAATAGGAAGAAACGAAGATATTTTACCATGTAAATGAGCGACAAATTCTCCCAATACCGACGGCTCGTGCTGGTTCCAAAAACGAACCTGTTGACAATTATCAATGGAATTAGACAAAAACGTAGACAACAATTTCAGAAACGTTCAGTATAGAAGACTGTAATATTCTTCGTTTTTAATATACGCCACAGCGGCCATCTTGAAGGAACTTCAACAAATGATTTCTCATTAGTATCTATTTTTCATTCCTCCGACATGGCAGGCGGTCTATTATCTTTAAAATCTCATGGAAATGTTTGAAAACGATCAATTGCATTATTGCGTTTAATACCTAAATTCATTACTAGCTGTACACAACATTAAAATATGTATTCATTGCTCCAAAGTTTCTATGTCGCCTTCGTATTAGGGCCACGAAATTTGACGGAAAGGTCAAAGCTATGAGCAGCAATGCATTTCGGTATTGGAATGCATTATGAAGTATCAAATTTACTGAAGTTATTTGATTACACTTTTCTTTGCTTTCGTCAGTATTTTGGATACTAAAAGATACATATGTAAACTCAATTGCCGTTAGTATTTGAGTTAACAGCTATTATTTGTAAATTATGGACCTACCCATCCGCTAGAGTTACAAGATACCAGATTAGCGCCGCCAGGCAAGTTGGACAGCGATCTTGCATTAAGAAACAGCAGCATTGTAATTGCATGTCCACCGTCTGTATCCTGAAGAAAAAAAGAAACTTGTTTACAGAGAACGAACTGAATACAAAAAGTCTTAGTGCTTAGCAACCTCCCGCGTGCATCTAGAACTGGATATACGCACGCTAACCATGAACCATTCCTTAAAAAATGAAGTCAAGCCAACAATAATTCAAAAATTGTAAGGATTCTTGAGAAAGCAAGCAAGGACGCTAAAAAGAAAGGAATAGAGAGGTTGAAAAGCAAGGTAGACAGAGCCAGCAGTCACATATAATAACGAAGGAAGGGGTGGTAAGGAAAGCAACGGAAAAGCTAATTAGCACAACAAACAAACAAGCAAAGATCACAAAATTTTGATCGATTACTAATACTCTATTTATTACCTTTTCATCTTTGTCTCTGTTGCTTTTATTCGACATGGATGACGTGGTTCGCTCTCCTGTGTTACCGGGCTTGAGAAACTCTTCAATCTCAGCCGAGCTCGGTAGTGTAGGTGTTTCCCGTTCCTAAAACAAGGTGAATTTCAAACATTTTATTTTATCTTTGTAAAAGCTAAACAGATATTCCGAGAACTTACCATTTTCTTTTGTCTTCGCGAAGACTTGGTACGTTTTCTTGGTGGATATGCCGAGAGATGTCGAGACGCCTGTTCCGAGTTTAGGTTCCAGATAACAATCTCCCCGTCGTAGCTGGCTGTAGCGAGACATGCTGGAGGACAATAGGCGACAGATAGCACATCATCTTGATGCTCCTGTAATGGTAGACAGATCGACATTAAACAAGGAAGCTATGGAGGAATAATATAGCAGATGTGGCCGAATACTGCTGTTAAATGGTAAATATTCTATATTTCACGAAGTCAAGCTTTCGCTGTTCTACACTGAACATCATCAAGATTGATGATGCTGTAGAACATGAGCGAAAGCTTGACTTCAAATAAAGAGTATTTACCATCTAACAGCAGTACTCGGCCACATCTGCTATATTACTCCTCTACTGAGGATAACTGCTGAAGGATAACTTCTCAAGATTAAGGAAGCTATGCCTTTGCCTTTACTTCGATGTACGCCAGCCATCCTGAATATTCTGTCGTTTTGTTTTCTTATTCGAGTATCTGCTCAGGATTGACAAACAGCATTCGAAATAATTATCGAAAAAGAAAACAAAATGGTCGAGGATTCAAGATGACGGGACGTACATTGAAGACAAAATCATTCATTTTGCCGTGCCCCCCTTGTATTAATGATCTTTGGTAATTTGATTTATGGGTGTTTAGGGTAAAAAGGATGGAAGATGTGTATTCCAGGTTACGGTAGGTAAATTGCAGTTACAATTTTGTTCCACGGACAACAGAAAGATCGTTCAATACTAAGACCGGTGAGCACAAAATGGCTGCATAGATAATGCGTCTGAGTGAAATCAGAGCTGACGCTACCTGATCATGGCATGGAGGATGACTATATTTACTTACCTGTCGACCTTTCCAATCTGAAGGATGAACATAAAATGTGTTCATTTGAGCATCACGGAAAACGCATAAGGCCCTACAAAGAACGGAAAAAAACAAAAACAATACCAGATTAGTCCTATGAATGGATGTTGTCACAACTTGAGCTGAATAGCAAAAGCTTCACCTGTCCCAGCCAACAGCTAAGATCATTCTCTTAAGACAAAGTACTTGGCAGATTTCTGCTGGATTACCATCTCCAGCCATTAGAATGTTATGACAGTGACCGTTGAAATCCCAGATCTAAAAAGATAGTCAACCAAATCATGTTTTTTCCTTGCCTTGCCTGTGTTGGATCCACGTTTGTTAGTGCAGGGAGACCTCCTTAGTATTGCACTTTCAATTAGCTTTAAAACTTTACACTATAACGAGCAGTGTAGTTATTGTTTAAGAAAAGTGCTATAAAATCTCTTTGAGATACCTTAACTGTCCCATCTGCACTTGCGGTGAATAATCTAGTTTCTGTTGCATCCTGGGTGAGCGTAGTGATTTCTGCATTACCATGAGCGTTTGCAAACTGAAAGGAAACGGAAAATGTGATTATTATAATATCGTCATCAATGTATGATTGGCCACGAAATATCCCACACAACCAATACAGCCAACTCTCAATATTACGGACACCCTCGGGACCCTAATTAAGTGTCCGAAGTAGCGCGAGTCCGTAATAACGGGAGTTACTTTCAGTTATTTCTTTGTATATTATTTTAATATTTGTAAACAAGGCATATTTCAACCCATGGCTGCAAGTTAATTTGTCAATAAACTATCTATCTATTTCGCTTGGGATTTAGTATTTCGTGTCCGTAATATCGAGGTGTCCGTTATAGCGGGGTGTCTGTAAGGCGAGAGTTGACTGTACTCCAGTTTCGAGATCTTATATGTGCAGCCTTAACCTCGAAAAGAAGACGAAATAAACTTTATGCTTGATTGAAGCTATGCTTGCACAAAAGAGAATTTGAAACTGGCGCTACTTCGGACACTAAATTACGGTTCCGAGGTTGTCCGTAATAGCGAGAGATGACTGTATTCGTTTCACAACCACCTTCGATATATTTGTAATACGAACCTGTTTGACTTTTTGTCCTGTATCTATCATCCACATGGTTATCACAGAACCAGTACAAGCGGTTACCACCTAAACAAATAGTACAAAATGCATTAGTGGACGATCTCTGTAAACTTCCTAAAGCGGGCTTCACTCCTAAAAGTAGACTATTCTCCTAAGCGTTTGTATTCCGTTTCTGTGAGGCACGACAGTCTGACAAGCTATTTTTTCTAACGATAGATCATGGTAAACAAAGTGTTTTATAGTTGACAGGAGAATAGCAGACGTCAGTGTGTCCGGAGATGCGTTGAGGATTATTTTATAGTGCCTTACTCGAAAAGCATTATCGAGAGAAAAAGTCCAAACGGGTTAGACGAATTCAATAATGGCGAGAGAGGTAGTTACCACAGAAGGAAATAGAGACGATTTTTAAAGGCCTTATTGGTTTTATTCAATAGACATGATAATGACGAGCTGAGTGGTATATATAGTTATTTCAAAAATGGTTGTCGGATAAAATGGCGAAGGGCAATTGTCGAACGGCGATTGCACGACTGAAAGTAGCCATGTGTTTTGCTAGTTGAAAGGCAATAACAACTGATTTGTACTGTAAGTCTTTTCTAAACATAGGCTCCATTTAGTCTTTAGTCTTTCTATGTAAGGTGAATTCAATAGGTGAAATTTTGTTTATCAAAGCAGTGTAACCATAGTCCCTTTCGTTCGTGCAATCTCCCTTCGACAATCGCCGTTCTCAACGACAACGTTTTTTGAAATAGCTGTATAAGAAATGGGAAGTATGTACCTGATTAAATTTGCTGTTGTAAATAGCTGCTGTCACGGGCTGCTCATGACTCATTATTCTGTCTTTAACTTCGGGCTTCATGACCATTAACGTTAACTACAAATATAAAAGTGAAGATAAGCCAATGTTATAAATTCTAGATATTAGACTCACTTTACATCGTTACTACCCTCCTCAATAGCCATCACTAAACCCTGGTTTCCAATAAAAACGAAAGAGCAAGCGCAAACGTATAAACACAAACGAAAACGCAAGACACCTTATGTAATAGTGAAAAACGGTCAAAGCAGTAATAAATCCGCAAACGCAGTAAACTTTTCATTGTTTCTTGAGGTTGCACTCGTGGTTGCGCTTGACTTTGCTAGTGAAAACTTCTTTCTAACAGGGTGTCATCGCTAGTTATCAAGGCATGACCTTAACAAATAAAGGAAGCCCGGCTATATAAAGAGCTGCCTATGGTTAAGGCTACATCTTCACTAACTTACTTGTTGATTGAAAGCAGTAAATAATTTGCTGTGTTCTTCGTCATAAAACATTGATATTGACACTGCAAACGAATACAAACATAAGACATTAAACAAGCAACAACAATCCCTTGTCAAGACCACTATACTCAGAAACCCAGGAGCCTCTTCAACACCTCTTTTTCCAACAACCATTTCCGAGGATGAGGATTTTTATGCGTCAAAAGACTGATAGAGTGCAAATACTGAAAGCGTGAAAAAGTACCAAGCAAATACTGCTAAACAGCTTACTGCAGTGTATTTAAACATCAAACAGTGTGGAGGGACGCCATTTTGTGCAGCAAAGCATGATGGTAGTCGTAGTCCTCACACTTATAATAGACCCTAAAATATCTCCTTAAAAAACATTTTACGCTTTGCTTGTAGAAACGGCAAAACAACATCTTTTTGTTTCAGAAATAGCAGAAACAGAATGGCTGTTTTTTGCGGACATGAAAATGTACGAGGACTAAAACTACCATCATGCTTTGCTGCACAAAATGGCCTCGCTGCATATTGACTATTCATTACAATTTAGCACTATTTCATTGCTATCAAATTTTCATGTTTTTTTGTGTATGTTTTTGCACTCTAGTTGCTTCAGGTTTTAGTGTTCATTCAATGCTTATGCAGGATCACCATACCTTGGTTCCAGAGTTTTCTCTTCTTTATAGATGTTTTTTTTAGTATTATATCGAATTTTTGTTATAAATTTAACGACGCATGAAGAAAACCTCTGGTCGGGACCGTTGCGAATCTCACTTTCTGATTGGCTGATAAAAAATGACATATTTGACAGCTGTCATCCGAAGCGGGTGGCATGAAAGTGAGGTTCGCAACGGTCCCGACCAGAGTTTTTCTTCTTGCGTCGTTAAATTTAAAAAGAAAAGACAAAACACGATAAGCACTAGAAAAAATCATCTATAAAAAGAAGGGAAAACCACTGGATCCAGGGTAGGATTACCAGAAATACCGAGAAGAACTGCACTAACACGAACTCACCTTCTGCTGGTCCTTTTGGAAACATCCCTGATAATCTTTGTAGACAAACTTGAAGATGGGTATCCCATATCCGTAATACCTGGAAAACAAAACAATGAATCCCATATGAAAATTCAGTTATTAATCAATATAATTAAACTATTTACTAATCCAACAGAAAATAGGAAGTAAAAAAAAGGAGCAAAAACATCTTCATGTCATAGTCTTAATAGTGTAAAAAATAAGAAAGAAAGAAAGAAAGAAAGAAAGAAAGAAAGAAAGAAAGAAAGAACGTCGCCTTTTAAATCAAATTTGGCTAATTGTTATAGAAATACGGTAAATCTATGTACAGTCAACTCTCGCCTTACGGACACCCCGATATAACGAACTCCTCGATACTACGGACACGAAATAGTGAATCCCCATCGAAATATATAAAGAAATGACTAAAAGTAACTCCCGTTTACGGACTCTCGCTACTTCGGACACTAAATTACGGTCTCGAGGGTGTCCGTAATTGCGAGAGTTGACTGTACAAAGTATAAATCGATAAATGTTACCTTATCCTTGGACAAACTAATAAGTTGACCACGTAATTGTATAAACTTGACAGCGATTATACTCTGCATATGACCTCGTAATACCTGTCAACAGAAATATGTCTTTTTGGTTGTCTCAAAGAAACTAGAGGGAAACTTAATTAAAGGGCTACTTGGACGAAAATTGCGAAACATTAGAAAAGACTTGGAAATCAAATAGACCTATCCATATGGGTCTAATGATCATGAAGCAACAGATTTTAAGAAGATATTGATACAAATCCTTGATAATTTGGACAAAAAATGTTGGGGTAAATGACGTCATTTACTCCATCCTTTTGTTCTTCCATCTTTTGAATCAAAATTTCTCTGATGTAGGATAATTCCAAAACAAATATATTCCCCAATTGTTTTTAATAGATATAAATGAGTCGTATATTTGTATTGCTTGAAGGTTTGAAAGAAGGGCAGTTTCATGCGCGCATTCGTGACATGGACTTTACTTGTTAGCATTTTTTTTTTTTTTTTTCTTGCTTTTTTACGATCATATTTTTTTCTTATTTATTTATGTGCTGCTGTTTTTTTATTCTATTTTTTATTTATTAAAATTTGCTGTTATTGTTGTTGGCTGTTTGTAATTTTGCTTGTATTTTTTTTTTCGCCTTACTTTTCCAACTTTTGTCGTGTTTTGAGTTTTTGCTATTTTGATCGAGCAATTCCTACAACGTTTTAACATTTAAAATTCCTACAATATTTATTGAATTTGCTTAACATCTAAACTACAAATATTGGTACTTTCATACATACAACAAAGAGCATTAGTCAATCCAATATTAAGCGCTGGGCCTAAATACTCACCCCGACTGGTTTTGATATGACGTAAGGATTCCACAGACATACATGATGATTGACACCAGCAGTTGCTATGGAAATAAAACAACATCAAAATTTCTGTTGGACAGTCATGAAAACTAAACTAGCGGATCTATAACTCTATAAAAGGGGTTACATAACTCAGAAAAGAATATCAAATTGCGAGCTGCTCTAGTTGTTTGTTTGTTGTTGTTGTTTTTTTTCTACAATGTACTTACAGGTATTTCATAGATTGAGCACGGTTTTGAATTGTATACTCTCTTATTGACATACTTTTGACGTCATAAACTCCAGGAGCGCAGATCAGCAAAAATCATTGTTTTCTTTCAACTGAGCACGCGCGAGATGTTATTTACACACTTTAATCAGCCAATCATAATTTCTTATTTATACAGATTTCTTTCTTTACTTTTAAATCCTAGGAGAACGCGATGAGATGCCAATTAAACTGACAAACTGAAACGTTTCAATTGGTTAAATGGACTATGTCACTTTACTACCAATCATCGAAGTTCTGAGCTTGATGTGTAATCATCGCATCACTTTACCTATTAAATTCATTTTGTCATTGTAATCAAACGCATTTACTCCTTGAGGGATCTTGAATGCAGTCCTGAAAGCAACAATAATAAGAACGGATATCAACTGCTAATGCATAAAGGGGTATCGCGTCTTGAAAGCAACTAGAAGAGCAGTCTTTGTATGAGCTGGACATTGTGAAACTTTCCAGTGAAATGTCTTCCGTCCACCACTGAACAAACATTTTTATTTCACTCCGACGAAGGATTAACGTCCGAAACATCTGTAAGTTCTTGGCCACGTACTTTTTTACGGTGTTAAAATTTATCTTTAGTTTTCACAACTGTTTTCTTAGCTAGCTAGAGAGACCCACACATCTCATATTAGTTTACCGTTAGTTTTCACAAATTTATTAAGACCCGTTTACACTTGCGCCATTGTCAAGCGACCAACACCTAAATTTCGAACATGCTTGAAATATAGCAGCAACTTTGATTCAGTCTATTTTATCAATGATCACAAGTACATACGTCCTCATCTGTGACTTGGTTTTCTCAACCCAACCAAGCACCAGGGAGTTCTTATAGTTCGTCGCGCATGAGATGAAACAATCCAAGTGCGCTGAGTACATAACTGGAACAAAATAGAAAGATTTGGAGAAGAATTATGTTCTGCCTAAATTACTTACAACTGCTTATTTAATGTAAGAACCTGACACTTCAAAAAAAAATATACAGGATTTTAAGTATAAAAGCGTATTTTTACTAGTATAAGTGCTAGGAAAATAAATATGAAGCTGTTACCTTGTCTTGTCCATTCAGTGTGTCCATGGTGTTTTACTATTCTAGCATTTCTGTAATGACCGTGTGCGACATCATTTATATCGACACTTAAACATACATCTATAAAAAAACATATTTGCATCTGTAACTATGTCTCAGGATAATTCACACAAGTCCCACTTGCTACCATGTTTACAAATTAATTAAATAATACAGCAAAATCATATTGTTAGAAATAGAAATAACGTCGCCCCCCCCCTCCCCCCTCCTAACTATAACTCTAGTTGTAAAACAAGCAAAAGCGAGTCGAATCAACTATAGCAACGCAAAATTAACTAAAGGCGAAACCTRATGCAAGAGGTGGCTTAAACCTCCCTTAAAGGAGTTTTTGATTTATTTCTTTTATAGATTTAGTGACATATGTTCTACAATGTATTGCAAGCTCCAACAGTCGAACGAAAACGGCCAAAAGATATACATGTATTTGCATCCGTCAATCAAAACACGGGAAGTGCGACAGACTTTCGAGATTCTCTTCTGTTATCTGTTGAACGTTCTCTGTATCTGTTGAACGTTCAGGGTTCCAGCTTCTGCATTTTGGAGAAGAAACTCGAAACTTGCTCAGTGAATTTCAGAGATTTTGCGGTTAGAGCGATCGACCCTTGAATTTACAAAAGGTGAAGTAACAAAAGTTCTCATTTTTTTTTCACCCGGGGACATGACCGTTGAGTGCGCAACAAGAGAAACCTTCTTTCACACAGTACAGACAATTATTTACAGGTATCCATTGCACGTTGAACGGTTGTCTCGCTTCGATGTAAAGGCACGACTACCTTTAAAAAATGGCGCACGTAACCGTAGAAGGAGACTATTGTCGAAGACATCATACTTTTACATGGATTGGATACGACTGATGTAATTATACTATACATAGCCCAGGCCTTACAGAGGCAAAAGAAGACAAACCTTGTTTGCTGCCAGCAGGCTGTGCTGGTCTGTCAAATAGAGCAATATTCACAGCAGAAAACAAAAGAGCATTGACCTGTCCAGAAACATCGCCATAAACTAAAATAGCTTCATTGGGTCTGTCTGGGTTATTCCTGAAAAACAAAGACACAATTCTTCGTGTGCATGTGATGTCATAGTCACGCAAAAAATCTCGCAAAATTCAAAATATTTTTGCTAAAGAGCTGTTCTTACAGTATGTCTTAATATATTTCTAGATAGTGTGTATGGAAWTTTTCAGACGAATTCAACGCTTTGGTGGCGAATCACAAAAGTTTTAGTTTGTGCGGAGTTTAATTTATTCTACTTTTAGATCGTAAACAAAAACTTCGAAATTGGATAAATCATTCTTTCAACTCCGTAAGAACGTACTTAAGGTGATTTTTCTTTGAAATAAAGCCATAATTGAACAAAATTTACAAAGGAAATCAAGGAAACCAGAGTTTTTGAAGTCAATTTGAAACCAGCCGCCATCTTGGATGATCAAAGCTATCATCCAAGATGGCGTCCCCATACAAATTAACCAAATATTTCAAATMTTTATTCGCTGATATCTTCATCAGAAAGTAAGCTGCAAGCCTTAAAGCTCGTATTCTAGATAATCTGACTATGCTCTTTGTGACTCGCTACTTGGTTTTTGAAAATAACGACTGATAAATTTTCACTTTTGGGGTTGCACACCAAGAATTCACACACTTTGCCAATTTAAATTATCCCAGTGCAACAACTCACAAAATTAAAACCTGCTTAATTCTTTTAATTGCAACACCAGGCATCACTAGATAATTTTCTTGACGTAATAGAACTTATATAAGATATTTAAAACCACGTTAAACACTGATAGCCTGATTTTCCTGGGTCCGAGGCTGACGCTTTCCTCCCCGTTAGCGTCGGACCCAGGCCCTTCTGAAGATAGTGACTCCAAGACCACAATGCATTCCAGGCCGTTCTGTTGCCGTCCAAAGAGAGTTTTCGTGGTTTCAGAGTGACCATTCTAGCTGCTAATCGTCAAGAACTTCTCAATGGAAAGTATTTAAATTTAGAATTGTCATCAAGTAGCGCAGCTAACTTGGAATTTGATAGCAACAATGCATTGCGGTCTTGGAATACACTGTGCAGTATTCAACGTTTATTGAAATTGCTGTCAATAAATTAGTTCGACCCTTCGTACAAGGAAGCAGAACATACTTTACATGCATTAAATAAGTTTTAGCAAGGCAAAGACATGTTTGAAGATTCCGAAACTTTTATTACATCAGAAATAGAATTATATTTTTCCATATTGATGGTTTTCAACTATTCCCAGGAGAGACAGTTGAACAAAAGATGTCCGCCATTGCTGGTGGACCTGACAAAAGAAAACCACCACCGTGACTGGTGGACCTTTTTGTTTTGCTCACTCTCATGGGAATGGTTGAAAACCAGCAATACGTTTTGGTGAGGAAGAAAGCTCTTACCAGTAATCCAAGCACAATGGTGTATCATCTAGGTTTTTGATTCTATATTGACAGTTGAATTCTGACTTTGAACTGAGATCATAGATGGCTGGAAAAAAATATAGCAATTTAATACAATAAAACCCCACATTATGATCACCCAACCTTAGTATGGCCACTCCGTTGTAACGGCCAGATTTTTACCCGATGAATTAAACCCTCTTCTTCATGGTTAAAAAACCTACCCATTGATGCGGTCACTTTTTAATGTCCGTTTGGTGTCTGGATTTTTAACAGTGGAACCCTACCTTACGGTCACCCGCATAATGCGGCCACTCTCTATTGTAACGGCTAGATTTTTATGCTTTGACGAATTAAACCATCATACTTTTCGGCTACTTTTCAATTTCCTTTCAGTGGCTGGATTAACCGATTCCACTGTAGTTTAATCAAAAGCTTTTTACATAAACCTACCAATCTCTTTGCTAGTCAATGAAAGAGCCAGTTTGTAGATATTCTGCATTGGAACAAAGTCTGTTACCCACAAATCTCTCTGCTTAACTTCATCTTGATCTGTGTGCACTTGCATTGCTCTTATTGGTTTCATACTCAACGACCACATACACACTACCCCTTCCTAAAGAACATTTCATATTTTTTAGAGAAATTACAGTAATAAATGGTCATACTAAAAATACAAATTATTAGTTAATACATGAGCCACGAACCTTACTGACTGACAGATATCGAGAGGGGGAGCTCAAAGGAAAAATTCTTCTGATGATCTCTTTGTGAGGACTTGCGATGTTGCGCAGCTCTCTCCACTGTGGAACCTGCATTTTATAAAACTTGAAATCAAGACATGGACGGAGAGTACAATGCACGAGTTTCAAGACCTATTAAATTTGTTTGCATGATTCCGGGTTTATTTGTCTTGCAATATTATATGCATACCGATGGAGCATGTGAATTTTGACAACTTCTTAAAAAGTACTGTTTCTGAGATGGCATACGAGAACCTGTGGAGACCATGTATACCATGTATCTTGTAGATTAGAGCGGATTTCATATGAGTGGGAAACGGACGGTACTGTACTGTGTCCGTAATCGTACTGTAACTAAATTCTAGTGCCCCATTGTTTCACCAAAATTCTGCAGGCCAGGTGCGGTAACCGTGCGGTAACGGTGTCCCACTCATACGAAATCCGCTCTACCATACCAAGTACAGAGATTAATTCTCACCTGTGTTGTCTTCATTCTGTCATCTTTTTCATAATATTCTAACAGCATATGAGAGGAAAATTTGTCCCAGTCCACAAAACCCTCTTTAGAGACATCAATCTTATTGAACAGTTCCTCATATTCCTCTCGTACACCTTTGTTTAATACAATTGACAGGATCTCACAGAACTGGTCTATATCAAGGCTTAAATCCCTCTCTTGACCAGACTGATTTATCTGCATAATTGAGTATAAATACAAAGGAGTAATTAATAAAAACCAAAATCATGATGAATCCAGCCATGCACTGATAGATCAAATATAGCATAATATTAAAGATGGCAACTACATGCATTTTTTGAATTATATAACAAATAAATTATTGAATATAACAGGCTTGCTTGTGCTTAAACCTTCAAAAACATGACATAAGCAAGAATAGAAAATATAAGATACAGTCAACTCTTGCTATTACGGACACCCCCGGGATCATTATTAGTGTCTGAAGTAGTGCAAGTCTGTAATATAGGGAGTTACTTTCAGTCATTTCTTAGTTTACACATTTTGCCGGGGATACAGTACTTCTTGTCTGTAATATCGAGGTGTCTGTTATACTTATAGCATGTTTGTTATGTCTGTAAGGCGAGAGTTGACTGTAGAATATGTTGATTATTCAAAGTGTATATTTTCAGAGCCTGCAAACATTTAAAAATTACAATTTATGCAAGTAATGTTACTCAATTACTCAACCTACTGTAAAAGCATCCTGTATTGACTTCAAATCGTGCATTGTTAATCGATTGACCAGTTTAACACCAAATGTAGTAACTTTTGGATCATTTTTTCTGATAAAAAAAAACAGAATATAACACTTAATAAAATGTATTTTTCTACTATTAAATACAGGTTTTAGCACCTGTTCAGTTATCAAATTAAGAACATTCTTCAATGGAAAGTGTCCAGAATTACAGGCCCTTCTGTGTGTACTACAATCTACATGTACTGTAGTATGTTTCGTTTCTTTGTATTTTGGTGTATTGTTCAGTTTCTGCTTTAGATAATGTTTTGATCTTTTGTTTCTATTGAATAATGTATGTATAGTCTGTGGTGTTAAATCGCTCCAGTACACAGAGAAGCAACCAGAATAACTGCATTACATCCAGAGTGTATGGGACTAAATTCATAGATATAATGCATCGCGAATGGTTTATTAATCMTTGATTTACAATGCACTCAGGTTATCAACACAATATTCACTGTATTATAAGTTAATAGATCAAACTCACGGATCTGTCAAAACTGATTGAAACTTAAAGGAATATTATAATTTTAAATCGAATGTCCACAATTTGTAATGCAACAACCCGTAAATATATATTTTATTTAAGTTACAATGTTTGTATTTTGCTCTCATATATTTAATCGTACATAGAATTATCATATTTCAAAGGAAAATATATTTTAATTTCGAACGACAATTTACCGCCGTGGGATACTCAGCTAGAACATCGAACAGCAATTAGAATATTAAAGAATCGCAATTTGCGTGTATCTATTGAACATGTTGCCCTTAGAATGGTTATTATAATGGTTTAAATTCAAGCTAAAACTTTAAGTTTAATGGGCATTAAAATCCTTCTGATCCTCTTCAAAATCACTCGATTTGAAATGTGTGAAACTTACCTTTCGACAGCTGTTTCTTCGCCTTTCTCGGAGTTGTGGACAGATTTTGTAGAGTTTGCGGTCTTTGGAGACTTAGACATTGTTTCTTAGATAAATGTTTACCAGTTAAAAGCACTGTTTTTGATAACTTTCATGATATTCTCTGTGATTATTTGAAAGAACAAAGTTGTTTTACAGTTTGTGGTCAAACAAGAAACCATGGTAGCAGTACTAGGCTTCCTCGACTAGATAACCACACAGGAAGCCCGTGACTATTAGTTTAAGCGTCAATTATTCTTAGTATTTTTATTTGATTTCTCTGGCCTTGTTTGTTTATTTTAGAATTTATCAATCTATTTCTCCTTACTTTTTCCACTTTTTGCACTGTTTACATTCTCAATTTGGAGAGTGCTCGATCGAAAAAAATATATTCAGATTTCAGTTTGAGTGAAGCGATCAAGAAAGTCTAGCAGTCCTGTCGATACAATTATTATCAGACACTTTAAACAGATATATTTTATTAATCCAATCATGATATTAGAAATCTTCATAAGCTCCTTTAAAATTACAATAAAATTTGGTATCCCTGAGTTTATCCCAATCCCAGCCCCATTGCAACTGCCAGTTGAAAAGGAAACCTTTCATTATGAACCTTACCATGTGATATTTAGATTATATTACCAAGGCGCGCGGACGGAAATCTTCGAGTGTTCAAAAGATCGCTCACGAGTGATCGTAGTGAACGAGTAAGAGATTTTTAACACGAGAAGATAAACTTCGTATTAAGCGACCATGTAATATTCTGTTTATCATATAATTACATATGAAAGCAAATTATGTCGTAAAATAGCTTTTTTCTTACTTCCACACTACATAGAGAAACCTCGAATTTGTTATTATCACTAGTAAAAAATCAATTTTACGCGGAAATGGAGAAATATAGGTATTTCATAGATAATTATATGATAAATGTAGGTATTTCACCTATATACAGCCTTTTGCAAAAATTATGAGAATTGCTGAAATATATAAATATCATAATATCAAGTGCATGGTCCCGCGCGATGCCCTTCGTCCCTTGTCTTTGTTGTTTAGTTTTTTTTTGGCGACGGACTTATCCGTAGTTCTGAACATTTTCTTGATGTCAACAATGAATTATTCTAGCAAACCCGCGTGTCCCGGACAATATATGGATATGGATTTTATGATATTTAGATATTTCGACAATTCTCATAATTTTTGCAAAAGGCTGTAATTATGATAAAAAATAAATATGAACAAGGCCAAAGTGCATCCAAGAGACTTTGCGCGACTTCCTTACATACGAAATTTCGTATCTTTGATAATTTTGAGCCAATCAGCAACCATCTTTCCACCAGAGATCTTTTGGAAAACAAAAGAAACTATCGCAATTGTTCTCGGATACACGTCCACCTTTAACAATGTCTACGTCATTGTTGCATGTGCAAAAATTCAAACTAATAAGGCTTTTTGGCGATCTCTTTTACACTGCCTTAGCCTCCAAACCATGTATGATATTAATTATTTCATTCGGCAAAAACCCTTGTAATTAAATACATGAGATCTATACGAAAATCAGTTTGAAAGTTTTATCTAAGTTCAGCCTGCATGCATACAGTGCAAAAGTGATCGCAAAACAACACTAACTAGTCCGTATAGCTCTTGTTTTCTATTCCATGGGTTTTAGGAAGCAATGATGTTTTGGCAGTATCAACTGGTTTAGACTTCTCTTTTGGCTTCTTCTCATCGGGAATGATTTGCAATTCCTTCTTGCGTTCACAAAACCTTCAATAAAAGAGAATCCTTTGTTAGCTTGCTTTCCTATGCTCCCTTTCCGTCTTGGCTTTGATAATGTACCATTAATGTTATTTACCATATGAAAAACGAGCAGAAGACTGGGAATGACCACCTTAAATGGTCTATGTACGTTTTTAAAAATCTGTAGTCGCGTTATAGAAAGAGTATATTTTTAGTGGATTGGCAAAATTTTAGTTTCAAATGGTAAAACATAGGCAGGCTACGAGGACATGCAACGTACCAAAAACGTGAAAACGAGGCTAGTAAGGCCTCAATACTGATTTTCACTCCAACCTTTATGATTTTAAACACCTGTAACTGATTTCTGGTCCTTAATGCTAGAGCATTGATACATTCAGATGTTACTGATTATGATATATTCTTTCAACGGTATTTATACATGAAACATCTTAGAAACTCAGGCGTTACGACAGCCACGCCCTTTTTCATATGGTCTATAACTTTTTGGAACCCGACTATGTATTTTTAACAATTTGATGTATACTTACTCAATGACGTTGAGCTGTGCAAAGTTCCCCGTTGGACCAATGAAAGCGTTCAACGACATGAAAGCAAAGTTTGAAAACAACCAGCTGAAGAACATCACGATCATGATAAACTGACCAAGTTGGATGTACACTAAAACATCAGCAGGCATCATCACGAGCCCTGGAAACAAAGGAACCTTTCAAGAAACGACATGTAAGTGGTAGACCTACAACAGGGGATTCAGCGTGACGTTGTACTGGGTATTGATATGGTGGAGAGAAGGTATTCAGGAAAGACTTATCAGTAATTTTTTTCATATTCCTTAAAGTTCACCTAACCCCTGAAAAATGACATTTTTTTCTAAAATTAGGAAAGTTTCTAAGAGCATTGGCGAATAAATGACTCGATTATATTCAATTCCTGATTTGGAACAAATTTGTTAAGTTGGATTTCGGATGGACAGCCTCGAAAGAAGTATCGGTCATCTTGGCCGCTAGTGACGATAAAGGAAAAAAACGAAGGTAGTCCGTGATTCTTGGTGATGTCTGCGGACGAGGCTAGGTTTAGCAATAGAACTGGAGTTTTTCATGAATATGTCTTTTTCCAGTTCAAAGCTAACAGCCGCTGCTTTAGTAGACAACAGTCTCTCATGCGCATAGACCTTACCAAAAACAACAGAAAGCACGAAGAAATGTTTTCATTACAATAGCACTAAGCCTGTATTCCCAGAAGATTCAAACTCTTGCTCATGCTAAGCCTCGAATCGGAGAAAATTCAAATTTCTATAGCTATTGTAATGTCAACATGTTTTCGTGCCTTCTTTTGTCCTCTACGCATAGAGCAAGTGAGTCTGTTAACAGACTCACTTGCGTAGAGGACAAAAGAAGGCACGAAAACATGTTGACATTTACAATAGCTATAGAAATTTGAATTTTATACGTTGTCTACTAAAACAGCGGTCGCTCACATTGAACTGGAAAAAGGCTTATTACCTGTAATGAATGTCGTGAATGTAGCCATAAAAACAGCAGGGCCAACGTGCATGAAGGAGTACCGAACTCTGTCTTTCCTGTCCTCTCTGTTTGGTGATAATCGATAAGCGACACCATAATGCATAGTGAAGTCAATGGAAAGACCAACTGCCACTGATAATACTATTGACTCTAGTACAACCAATTCCCAACCCAGCAAAACAAGACTTCCAACTGTCGTGGCGATGATGCCAATGATTGTAACTATGGCATAGATACTGATTAGAACATTCAAGGTGGTCAGCAGCATCACAACAAATGCCATGCCTATTGCAATCATCATTGACGTAACTGTATCTTTTAAAAGACATTCTTGGATGCTATACATAAGATGCAATCTTTCGCAGGCAATCCAACCATTTTTGAACTCAGGTGGTGCTTGGGAAAATTGTTCGTTTGACCAGTGGAAAATCTGTTTCCAGAATGTGTCCATTTCGTTGTAGTCTTTACTCCAGTGAACGTTTGAGCTAAATGATATTCTCATCATCTTAGTATTGTTATTTCCTCTTGGGTGATATATATCATGGCGCGGTAGTCCTAACTCGGTCATACAATTCTCAATGATGTCTTTAGGGAAGGGAAACGTGGCATTTTTGCAGCAAAGTGGTTTCCTTGATTGCGAGCACCTGTTGCGAATCGTTTCAAAACTACAAAGAGATCCACTCCTGCCACTATAGAATACTTGTTTCCTCAAACTCTTACAGAACGAAGAAAGCCATATTTGAGAATCTGATGTAAATTTCGGGTTGAATGAATGATCGTAGTCCAAGGTTCCTTTATCGTCAGGGTCTAGATAGTTGCCATTGTCAACAGGTTTTACCCCCCAAATCAACTCTATCTCCATCTTTGGATTAACACTAACGTCGTTGGCATAGCGAAAGTGTTGTTTTATATGAAGGTTATATTGCTCAATTGTGCTACTTGAGGAAAACATTTGAAAATCTGTAATTTTAGGGAGATGAAGCCCTGGTGAGACAAGACTTAAATATGAAAATCCACCTGTCAATCCGGCAAAGAAAATGATCCATAATAAATACAATTTCTTCTTAAAAATCATACTTGGCAGCCATGATTCAAAGAAATTCTCACTTAGCTTTGAAAAAAGTGTTTTGCTCATAGGAACCAAACGACATGGAAAGTCCATTGCTCGGAAAATCATGCAACAAAGACTTTGCTTTGGGCTTTCTTGTTCTCCTGTTTCCGGTTCGCAATAATGGGTTTCCTTGATTTTGGGAGAATCCTCAAATAGCCTTTCTTCGCTGAAGCTCTTTTTTAGATTTTGCCTTTGAATCCATCGCTCATGCAGCATTACATTGATAGGAAACCACGTGATCATTAGCAGGAAAGTAGTCAAAATGGAGATTCCAGCAAAGATGCCAAAGGTCTTGATAGCCGTTATATGGGATGACATGTTGGCAAAGAACGCTGCAGATGTTGTAAAGCTAGTAACAAACATTGAAATAGCTGCATGCTTTAAAGACTTCACTGTCAAAGTCAACAAGTTATCTTTTGGATTGTCACTTTTTGTTTTCCTAAAGATGTCGTAGTATACAAATGCATCATCTGCACCAATGCCTACTATGAAAATCACTGTCAATAAGTTGAAAAACGGGAAGAACGCAAAGCCATAAACCAAGATGTAAAAAAAGTACGACAGCACAAAAGCAAAGCCGATAGTTAAGACTGCACACAGCGACAAGATAAGAGACTCCATGAATAACCACATGCATATTGCTACTAGAATCATGGCAGAGATGGGGTATTTGACTTCCTGCAGCACAACGGCATTAAAAAGATCAAACCTGAAATTTGCAAAGTGAAAGCCTACCACTTTTACTCCATTGAACTCCGGAAATACGCTCTTCAAGTGATTGTCATAGATGTATTTATAAAGTTCAAATGCGTTATATTTTGTCGGTGTCACTACCGCTGCATATGTTAACTTTTTCTGGTCGGGTGTTTTAAGAAACTCGCTATCGGTGAAGTACATCATTGTGTTGTAAACGATCTTCTTCCAACTGCAGACGCAAGGAACTGTAGGACAATTATCCGATACACCATTTCTTTTCAAGTTTTTGCAATCACAGCTTTTGTTTAGTGTTCCTTTGTTATAGAACGCTGAGCACATCTCAAAGATATCCATTGCTTTTCTCACATCATTGTCGTCGATGCTTTCACATTTCGTTTTGTTTGAAAATTGTGTAACAATAACGCCTAAGGAGTGACTTTGACAGGAGCTCGGGGAACCCCCAAAATAGAAATTATCATAACTCGGAGGGGCAGACTTCATTATCTTTTTCTCAAGATGACACAAAGATTTCAGATTTTCAGTGGTCATCAGATTGCTTGATTTCGTAGATGTAAAGACAATGCGACCACGAAAAGTCTCTTGACATTCACTATTTTCATTGTTTGATCTGCGTTTGCGGACAGAGACACTTCTGCGAACATTGGAACCTTGCTCTATCAACAGACCTGAATTGATGTATTTGTCAATAAGGTAAAGTGTGTGTATTCTATTGCTCAGAAATGTGCCTCTTGGATCAAAACCCTGAAAAAGGAGAAACGGTGACATCGTTAACATATATAAAAAAATTCAACGTCACTGGTCATCAGAGAGCTTACTGACATGAATTCTATACCCTAGTCCTGCTTGCGTGCATCTAATGAAAAGAAGCTGACTGTGTCCCGTTTACTACAAGAGTCAAGATATTTTATATCCGCAAATACTTTTATTGAGATATACAGCTATATATCATGCACACTTGTCAACCGTACAGTTACTTTAGTCAGCCTTTGGGCGATTCAAAACATGACGGGAGTTGTAGTATTCTCACTTTTTATAGAGCCTTTTTGTAGGAACGGCACGAATACGTATACTTCTATTTCTACAAATAAAAAGCAAAGATGGCTAAGCAGATCGAGCTTTTTAACGGACTTGAAGAATCACAGGGACTACAACTCTCATCATGCTTTGTTGCACAAAGTGGTAGTGTTGCTGAACATTGCCTGTTAAGTCGTATGCATCTATGTACATCTAGTACACGTGTAGATGTAAATGCACGCAGTGGTGTTGCTGAACATTGCCTATTAAGTCGTATGCATCTATGTACATCTAGTACACGTGTAGATGTA